GGGCACCTCGCCATGGTCGCGGAAAAAGCAAGGAGAGGACAGCCAAGTCATCCTTCCAACAGAGAGGAGCACACAGGGCGGCCTCGCGGCCGCGGTCACATGCATGGCCAGACAGAGCTTGTCACTGTCGGAGGCAGGCCACAGGAGCCGGAGGCTGGCCCGAGCCTTCAGGGCAGGGGCGGCGGCATGACTGGCGAGCAACAGAGGCCTCCTCTCTGAGTTCTGCAGGAACTGGCAAAGACCGCCTTCGGGCAGTCGGGGGGTCGATGGGATGGCTTTCAAGTTGCCCCAGAAGGCCTCAAAGCTAGAGTGCAAACCGAGTGGACGATTCCCCCATGCTACAGCACAGCCACGACTCTCGCAACATTGGCCAAACAAGCGCATCATGTTGCAAAAAGTTGGCGCGCGCGGCCAGGCAGAACATAGCAACCCTGGACATACAATACACATCCCGAGCGCTAGTGGGGAAACCAAGCCCTGCGAGGCTATACAAGAGGGCACGACGATACGCACCGCGGGGGCCTTCGGCCAGAAGCTGAAGTCTGGGGGGCCCAAGCTCGAGGGTCGCTTCATCGGGGCGGCGGAACGAGGCAGTGAGCGAGGGGACTGCGCCCCAGCAAAAAAACGTGCCGCGCCCATGAAAACAACCTCGGCGCCCCAAAATGCGCCCCTAATCAAAACGGGCAAACGGCGCGGAACATCTTCGCACCCGAACCAAACTTCGGGCGCAACACAACTCCGAAAACCGTGTTGGGCACCAACTTGGGCGCTATTTTGGGCGCGGCGCAACAGACTTCGGGCGCCGCGGAGCCCGCGGCTCGGGGCACAGGACCTCCTGGGACGGACTGGCGGCGGCCGCGTCGGGGCGGGCGCCCGCGAGCTCAATCGGGCATGGGCGCCAGGGCCCCGAACCCTATGACATGGACCCTCGAACCCACAACGCAAGACCCCTCGGGCCAACGACACGAGCCCGCGGGCGCAGCATCGCGGGCCCCCCGGGTCGCAGCGGAGGCCCTGGAGGCAACATAGTCCATCGGCGTGTTCTTCATCATCACCACTGCGCGCGGTGTCTGAAGCACCAGGGCGCGCCGCGCGCGGGATAATCGCTTCGCGCGCACTCTCGGCGCACGTCGCGACGAGGGGGGCGATGGAGCACGAGCGATTTTGGGGCGCGCCAATTCAGGGTCTTGGGCCCGCCACACTATGAACAACGGCACAAAACAGCTTCGAGGCCCAGCACATTGTCACACATAGAGCGCCGAGGAAGAGCACTGAACAAGTATACCCCAGGACACGGTTGAAAGCTAAAAAGCAAGGCACGGCTGCAAGAGCTGAGTAGGGCAAGGGGCCTCGTTTCGTCGGCCGAGCGGCATGATTCAAACACACGTGGCGGGACCTCTCCCTTTACCAACAAGACAGCGAGAGAGCGGTTGAAATCGCGGCCAAACTGCGAGCGCGAAAACATAGCCGAGCAAGCGAGAAACCAGGCGCACAGCGCTGGCTCGCCAACGCGAAGCCAGACAGAGTAGACAGGTCCATCTGGGCCTGGAGAGGAGCCCTTAACCCGCGCGACAGTGGCCCGGCACTCATCGAACCCGATCTCCCATTCTGGCGCGAACGGAGAGGGCTGAACAAGGGGGCGAAGGCGCTCGAGCTGATCGGAAACGCACCCGTGCCCACGACGAACAGCTCCCCAATAATCGGCTGAGCGACGGGCAACTTCACCAGGGTCGGAAAGCTCGGCCCCTCGGGGGTTCGTGATTCCAGTAAGACGAACGCGGCGGCCTCCGAGCACAGGGCGCACAAAAATTGATAGAGCTGCCTTGTCGGACAAGTCGCTCAGCTGGCGGAGAGGCTAGATCCTGCTAGGCTTCTTCACTCTCCTGGCGAAGATGAGCGAGCCGGGGTGAACAATTGCCTGCGAGGGCCTTCCAGGTTACACCAGCACAGAAACTCGAAGTCCAAGAACTGATCTAGGCGGAGGCAAACGAAACACGCTCTGCTTCAACAGGGAATCGTTGCAATTACGAATCAGCACAAGTCAGGAGCAGGCACCAGGACATTTTCTCAGGGTCCGAGGAGGTACCACTGGATTCCAGGCGACGCATCAGGGATTTGGTAGCTTCGCGAACGACGTACATGGATTGTTCAAGACGGACCCAGGCATCGGGGCCAAGAGGACCACCTTCGGAGAAAACCGCTTCCCCGCCCCCCCCCCCCAGGAAAATCGGGATTAAGGATAACCCATTCGGAAGGATAAGCAAACGCTGCACTCTTCCTTCTCGGCTCAGGGGCAAGGGCGAGGCATGCTGGAGCGCGATCGGACAGAGTCATACGGCCCGCCGCGCCCCCAATCGTCAGAGCGGACCGCTGCGCCTCGACGGATCACATGTCGCACGCGACGCGGCCAAGCCTGGCAACGGACACGAGCAGGTCGTCCTGCGCGACCCCGCGGGTGGCCATCTGTAGGACGACCTCAACAGAATGAGCCAATATGTCGGCAACGCGCCGAACAACATGTGTCTTTGCGGGGGCGAACTCACCGGGGCGCCGCCGAGAAATCTTGCCCCTCGGACAGACACTCCAATCGCCCAGGACACAGATAAAGGCACGACTGGGAGGGCAAGGCGCCCACGAAACGCGACCCAGGAAAACCGACCGAGCGCGGGCGAGGACGGCGGAGGCACTGCGCGTGCTCATGGATGACGTGGGCCCCGTTGGCCCCCGACAGGGCAATGCGACGAGCGCGGCCACGTCGCGCGACGCGGCGCTGAAGACGCTGACACCGCCTGCGCAGGGCCTCGCTGGCTCGGACGACGCAGCCGCCAGCGCCGCGAACCTGGGAGAGGGCGCGGAGGCAACGAACGCCCGGACGAGGAAATCGCCGGGGCCGGAGCAGTCCTCGGGGTCGGACGACGACGAGGCGGAGGAAGTGGACGAAGAGCTGCCGATGCCACTGGTCACTGGAACTGGGGCCAGGCCAAGCAGCGCGCCCCCCCGCGCAGATGCCCGGCGGCCCCACGCGGCCGCGCCACGCTCGGCGAAATGTCGGGGGCCCTCGCGGGCGGAGCGGGCCCCTATTCAAGTGCTGCGGCACTGAACACGTCGGCAGCGATGCGGTCGATGCCGACACGGGCAAAAATGCGACACTTCGCGCCGAATGCGAGACCGCCCCCCCCCCCGACATCGACGAGGGGGGCGACAGGGCCTCAACGTCATCCAAGCCGACGAGTAGGAATCACCCGACCCCTCGGGGTCACGGCGAGCGAGATGCTTCCCCCTCCCCAAACCCCTCCCCCGGGGGCCTCGTCCGGCCGGTTTGGAAAGGGGGGGGGGGCGAATCCATCACCAGCACACTCGGAGCCTCACGAGGCCCCAAGACGGGCAAAAAAGTTCCAAAGGTTCCCAGAACGGTCCAAGAGAGCTACGAATCGACGAAAGACCACCCCAAAACGCCGAAGATTGCCTCCACGCGGCTCCAGAAGTCCCCAAGACGTTTGAAACAATATTACGAAGCGCCCCAAAGAGGCCCTCCAGAAGCAAAAATCGCCCCATACCCGAAGAGAAAACGCACATTTTCACCACATTCGCCTACTCGGCCTTCCACGCGGCGCAAAACGGCCCAAGAAGCCTCCAAGATCGACCCTCGCCAGCCCAACAGGCTCCCAAAAAAAGCTCCGAGACGGCGTCTGGGCGATGCACTTTTTGATTCGCGGGTCAAGAGCGCACCTCTTCCGGTCGAAGCTAAGCGGGCCGCCCGAAGCTTGAATTAACAAAGAGGAGGGGAAAGAAGGAGAGGCCTCACGGTCAGGCCAGGAGGAGGTAAAGCCTCGGGATCAGGCGGCGCCGAAGACGACGCGCTTGCAAAGGAACGCCTTGCACAGGAACCCGGCGGCGTCGAAGTACCGAAAGAAGCAAAATGCTGTGGTTGGCGGTACCGTCAACGGCTTATCATGCACACCAGCCTCGAGTGGCGGCGAGAGAGGACGCGCCTTGTATCCAAGCGGCGTCGACCAGGGAGGGTGGAGAGCATCGCTGAGCCGAAATGCAACGTTGCGCCACCGAACAGGACGCGGGCGATACACGAAGGCCCCAGAAACCATAGCAACGGCTCAGGAAAGCCGCAGGACGAACCCAAGAGGGCTCCAAAACGGGGCACGAGGGCCCCCGAAGGCTGTCCGGACGGCCCACGCGGGGGACGATTCGGTCCAAACCGCCCAAGATCGCCGCCAGACGGCCCCATGGGTGTCCAAGACGTTTGAAAACGCGACCACGAGGCGCTCCAAGAAGGCCTCCACAAGCAAAAACCGTCCCATTCCCTAGATAAAATGCACATTTTCAGCACATTCGCTTCTTGGGCTCTCACGAGACCCACAACGGCCCAAGAAACCTCCAAGATCGACCCCTGTCACCCGAAGAGACTCTACAAAAGGCTCCACGACGGCTTCCGGGCGATCCACGACGGCTCCAGAAACCATAGCAACAGCCCAGGAAAGCCGCAGGACGGTCCCAAGAGGGCTCCAAAACGGGCCAAGAGGGCTCCCAAAGGCTTCCTGGACGGCCCGCCCACGCGGGGGACGATTCGACCCAAACCGCCCACGACTGCCTCCAGACAGCCCCATGGGCGTCCAAGACGTTTGCATACGCGACCACGGGGCGCTCCAAGAAGGCCTCCACAAGCAAAAACCGTCCCATTCCCCCAGGATAACGTACATCTTTAGCATATTCGCTTCTTGGGCTTCCACGAGGCCCACAACGGCCCAGTAAACCTCCAAGATCGACCTCTGGCACCCCAAGAGACTCTACAAAAGGCTCCACGACGGCCTCTGGGCGCCCCACGAAGGCCCCAGAAACCATGGCAACGGCCCAGAGGAACGGCAGGATGGTCCTAAGAGGGCTCCAAAACATGTCTAGAGGGGCCCCACAGGCTGTCCAGACAGGCCACGCGGGGGACGATTGGTGCCGCCCCAAGGGGTCGGCGGTGTGGTGTAAGCCACTGAATACTAATCGACGCGGGCCGCTGCAACCAAGTCGGCGCGCAGACAGCCACGAACTCCTTACTTCCACGTGCCAGAGCAAGCGCTGCCAGAGCTAGCCGAGGACCCTGTGGCGAGCACAGATCCTGATGCCAGCGCCTGGGCGACAGCGAATGGGCTCGCGACGGATCGTCCACGGGTCGAAGAATGAGACGCCGTTGCGTTCCATGGAATGGCCAGTGGCGCTGGCGATGCCGGACGCGACGCGACGGACGGAGTAGTTTATGTGCATATTCCTGGTGACGCCCACAGCGTTGACGTCATAGTGGGGCGTCATAGCATCAAGAACTTGGCGGGCGTCATTTTGCACCACGGAGGCCCGCATGCGACGAGGGAACCCGTCAAACCACACTTTATACGCGTCGGCTTCTCCTCCAGCGAGCACTGGTGAAAGGGCGAAGTCTCCAACAGCTCGACGTTTGTTGCCATAGAAGACGGGAGAGAAGACCGAAAGGGGCAGACGATGAGGGTGGACGAGTCGATCTGACGACCGATGCTGCAGTTTACCATATGTACGCCGAGCCTCGATCTTGGTCACTACGCCAGCCTCAACAGCAGCCGTGATCTTCTCGGATGTCCAAGTTTCAACACCAGCGACGCGAGTCTCGATATGCGCGAAGGCTTCCTCGTGGTTGTAGAGGGATGCTTGGATGGTGGAGATGTCCTGTCTCGTGGCCACGTCATAAAGCTTAATGTCCATCGCCTTCAGCATGTCATTGATGGCGAAGTCCTGCGGGAACGGGGTAGCCGTGCCACTTCAGTACGGATCAGAACTTCCTGGCGGCAGGGAGTCATGAGAACCTGTCGGACTGGAGGGCGAGGAACTGGGGGACGAGTTGACCACTATGGGAAGGGGCGAACCAGGAAGAGCCTGGCCAAGCTGAGTGTCGTCGATGTTCTCGAAAACGACCTCGTCTGCTGGCGACCATTCGACTCCTGCGTATTCCCAATCGCTCCGACTGCCAGAGTGCACGGGGCCAACCGGGGTGATCCTGCTCATAAGATGGGGCGGAACGAAATGCAAAAAAGTGCCCATCAGCGTCTGACAAAGCTCTCTGAACAGAACTGCCGACTTCAACCTCGGGCCGGCCCCGGACCCTGAACCACCACGGTTCGAGCCCAAACGGCGACGGAACCTGCTCGGGGAGGGAACGCACCCACCCCCCTCCCCCATCCGAGGCGTCAGGAGCTCCCTCTCCCTCCCCTTCTGCGAGTTTAGTGCGCGCATGCGGGGGTGTGTTGGCAGGCGCGGGCGCGCGCGCGCGGGCGCGGGCGCGCGGCGTAGCCACGCGCGCGCGCAAGCCGAGCGCCCACGGTCACCGCCGCCCCTCTGTCTTCGTTTCCTCTCTCCCTGCCCTCGGCCCGTCCGTTCGGGCACCCTTCGCCCTCCTCTGTCGGGCCCCCCGTCCGGCTCTCCCCCCCTCGTCCCTCGCTGGCCCCACCAGCGGTGATCCGACTGCTTTCAAAGACTGGCCCCTCCCGGCGCACCATACGGTGCAACCGGGAGGGGGCCATGGTCGCGTGCGGAGGACACACAGACCGTTAGCCCGCAGCTCGTATGACAAGGAGGAGGAGGAGGAAGAGGAGGAGAAGGAGGGAGGAGGAGGAGGAGGAGGAGGAGGAGGAGGAGGAGGAGGAGGGAGCGAACGACGAGGGGACAGGGAGGAGGGAGGAGGAGGGAGGTGGAGAAGGAAGGGAGGCGCGAGGAGAAGAGCGAAGGAGGGAGGGACCGAGAGGCGGAGAGACCACGCCACCGCGCGAGGCGCCTCACCGCCGTCCAGCAGCGCGAGCGGCACGGCGCAGAAGACCTGCCCCCCTACCCGCTTGGCGGGGGGCGCGGCCGGGATAGGAGCCTGGGGGGCAAAGGGGGCCCATGGAGTACGCAAAGCACTCGCACGGCAGATGCTGGCAAGACCGGCGGTCTCAAGGGCCGTCGAGAGGAGCCAACCCCCTCGAAGGCGGGATCGCGCAGGCGGCAGAAAGGAGGGAGGGAGGGAAGGAGGGAGGGAGGAAGGGGGGAGGGAGGGAGGGAGGGAGGGAGGGTGGAGTAGGAGGGAGTGGGGGAGGGAGGGGGCAGGATCGGTGTGACCCCCTCCTGACTTGGCAAGGCAGGCATGCACACAAGTCCTGGGCCGATGGGCCTTGCCAGGATCAATATGTAGGTGTACAACTGGCGTCCCTCAAGCGAAGTTTTGCCCTCGACACTCGAGGATTGAGGATTTGGGGCGTTCGGGGCCCTCATCAGGACCCTTGGGAATCCCCTGGGAGCCTCCCGGTACCTGCACGAAAGCTTCCCTCGCATGTCGGTTCTGCATTCGCGTTCGAGTTCTCCTCTGGGCTCCTCGCAGCAACCCCCCAAGTGGGGGTCGGCGGATACTGGACGTGAGCTGGGGAACGGCAGCCTCGCACGACGGGTGCCAGGCTCGGATGCTCCATCGGGGAGCCATGCAGACGCTCTCAGCAGCTGGAGGCTGGTCGGTCACAAGCAGCCGCAGCATGGCGGCAGTCCCATGCGGCCACAGGGGCTGTACTGGTGCTACTGCTTCGCACTGCTTCAAAGGCTCGTCGTCGTCGTCGTCGTCGTCGTCGTCGTCGCCGATGCTGCACCCAGGGCGTGAAGATAGAACGAATCTGGAGAGTCCTCCTCCTCCTCCGCCTCCGCCTCTGCCCCCTCCTCCTCCTCCTCCTCCTCTTCCTCCTCCTCCTCCTCCCCCTCAAACACATGTACATCAGGTCTTCCCGCCACACCGTCGCCTCAGCTCGCGATGTGGCGCCTCAACCTCCTTCCTCGCCACCGCCACCCCCGCCAGCGAGCTCGGCGCCAACGCTGAGCGGCAGCTGCCCAGCCGAGCGCGCGCAGCGCATGGCCGCCCAGCGCCGCGAGCCGCGTCTGCGTGACGTGGCGCACGACCTCGGCCCCGAGGTCCGCGCGCAGCCGCCGCAGCAGCCTGGCCGCCGCCTGGCCGCATCCCGCACAACTCCGTGATCTCGCGGTGCAGCATCATGACCGCTTGCTGCGCCGCAGACCCCAGCCGCCCGCCCTTACTCCACGGCAAACGGGACCACGGACGGCCCGCAGTGGCTGGGTTTGACCCTCTCCCCTTCGCTGGCCGCCACGCAGGGGGCGAGGTGCGCTCGGGCCAGGCTGGCCACCATACGAACAAACCCACGAAGCGCTCATGGCTCCTCCTGCTCCTCCTCTTCGTCCTCCTCCTCCTGATCGCATCATCATCTTTATCATCATCATCATCATCATCACCACCATCATCATCATCATCATCATCATCATCATCATCATCAGCAGCAGCAGCAGCTGCAACAGCAGCAGCACCAGCACCATCACCATCACCATCACCATCATCATCATCATCATCATCAGCAGCAGCAACAGCATCATCATCATCATCATCATCATCATCATCATCATCATCATCATCATCATCATCATCATCAGCATCATCATCAGCATCATCATCATCGTCATCAGCAGCATCATCATCATCAGCAGCATCATCAGCATCATCATCAGCAGCAGCATCAGCATCAGCATCAGCAGCATCATCATCAAAATCGTCATCAACATCGTCATCATAATCATCATCATCAGCAGCAGCATCATCATCATTGTCATCATCACCATCATCAGCAGCATCAGCATCAGCATCAGCATCAGCATCAGCATCAGCATCATCATTAGCATCGTCATCAGCAGCAGCATCAGGATCATCATCAGCATGAGCAGGCATCATCAGGATCATCGTCAACATGAGCATCATCATCAGCATCATCATCGTCGTCATCATTAGCATCGTCATCAGCAGCATCATAATCATCACCACCACCACCATCATCATCATCATCGTCGTCGTCAGCATCATCATCATCATCATCATCATCATCATCATCATCATCATCATCATCGTCATCATCCCCCTTATCAGCGACATCATCATCAGCATCAGCATCGTCATCATCAGCATCATCACCACCACCATCATCATCATAATCATCTGCATCCTCATCACCGTTATCGTAATCTTCCTCAACATCATCATCGTCATCGCCACCGTCGTCATAATCATCATCATCTTCATCATCATCATCATCATCCTCATCATCCTCATCATCGTCATCGCCATCATCGTCATCGTCATCGTCACAGTCATCGTCATCATCAGCATCAGCACCATCAGCAGCAGCATCGGCATCAGCATCATCATCAGCAGCAGCATCATCCGCATCATTAGCATCATCATCATCATCAGCATCACCATCATCATCATCATCATCATCATCATCATCATCATCATCATCATCATCATCATCATCATCATCATTATCATCATCACCATCATCATCACCATCATCCCCCCACCCCTCCTCTCTGATCCTCCTGCTCTCCTGCTCTCCCTCCCTCTATCTCATCGCCCGCTTCCCCTCCCTCTCCCCTTCCCGTCCTCCTCCCAATCCTGGACATCAGCCAGGCAGCACGGTTGGGCAGCCTGTCTTGTTTGTAAATATTCCCCCTAGCAATGCTGACTCATGGCTGCCGTGCTCGGACGTTGCACTGCACGCGCGCGGGAATACAGCGGCCTCTAGCAAACGCTTGCCCGCGCGCGCGCACGCACGAAAGCGGGACTCAACACGCGCGCGCGCGCGTGCGCGAGCGAAGACCTCGGAGGCCCTCGACGGCCCTCGGAGGCATCTTCGCCTCTGCATTGAGAGGCGGCGAGCGACACATCGCTCAAACAAGGAGACATGGATTGAAAGCATCCACCGCCACCACCACCGGCTCCCTCCTCCCCCGTGCCCACCCCCCACCACCACCACAAAAACTGAACATATAACCATCAACAAGAGAAGGAGGAGGAGGAGGAGGGACAACCAGTTCAAACCGAAGACGCATCAGCGATGTTGCAATAAACCCCTCCAAGATCCCTGTTCATAGGGCCCTTTTTTTGTATGAGAAAGGGCGGGAAATGCACTGCGGGAAATGCTCCATTGGAAAGCAAACGTCTGAGAATACTCAGCAGCGCCAAAGCAACATTCCTCGGACTTCAGCGTCGCGAATCAACGTGGCTAGTGCGTAGTGACAGTCCTAAACCGTGCCAGAACATCAGTCCTGGGACATCAACACCGCGAATCAACATGACTTGAGGGTTCTGGCACCCCTGAATCTTGCCAGACCGCCAATCCTGGGATTCCGACCATGCGAATATTCAACACGGCTGCGAACTTTCAAAACGACTGAACGCGGCGCAGAAGCGAGAGCCAAATTTCACAAAGAGCAGCCCTTCGTCGGTGAAATTGCGGCAAACTCGTAAGGCGAATGCGCGCGGCGCTCGAGCGAGAGGCACATACTCAAAACGACCCAGTCTCCGTCCGTGGAACTGCCGCAAACTTTGAAACGAATGTGCGCGGCGCTGAGGCGGGAGCCAGCGGGAGCCACGCTTCGAAAACGGCCCGCGCTCTTTCGGGGTCATACACGGTGAGGAATTATGAGGCGAAACGCCCGGCCCGCCCTACTGACACGCCTGGGGGTGCGACAGGAAGGAGTTAGTAGCTGAAGGGGCCCTGGGACACACAAATAAATACACACAAATAAAAGGATTCTCCATATTTTCATGATGTATATATATATATATATAGATTACGGGTTTTTGTCTTCCCTCCCACTTCGCATATTTTCCTGGGTGTCGACGATTAACTGTGTCTGTGTGATTTTTCCTCTCCTGATTAACACTGAAGAGGGATGGAGGAAGAGGAAGGACGCGGGAGCTGAGCTGGGGCAGGAGGGAGCCGAAGCGGGTGCACAAGCAGGAGCACAAGCAGGAGCACGGGAAGGAGCAGGAGCAGAAGGAAGGATGGGGAGGGAAGGGGACCGGGGGAACAGCAGGCGACAAACGAAGAGTGAGGAGGACATGGAGGAAAGAGGACGGAGAGAGGAGAGAGGACTGGAGAGCATCGAGTCGCAACGAGGACACGGCCAGTGCCAAAGCGAAGACATGAGAGGGAGGGGGAAGGGGGAAAGAGGAGGGAGGGAGGAGGGAAAAGAGGAGGGAGGGAGGAGGGAGCAGGAGGAAGCAGCGGCAGGACGC